GGACGATCACTCTCGCCACGGGATCTCGACTACCCAATTCCCCGCTGCCATCACCCGCCGGCTCCGTCCACTCTACTGTCCACAACACCCACCACCATGCACCATATCCCTGACACTCTCCACCCCCCTCCGACGCATAACTTCCTGCCCCCACTCTCACCGCCACATCTGACTCCTCTACCAGCAGGGGGCACGAACCTAATCTCATCGTACATTCACTTCACGCATTGGTCTGGTCGGTCGCTTGGGAATCTATCGCACAGAGACTTGTAGGATACGAAGCAGTCTATCCAGGAATCTGAGGTAGGAGTATCCCAAATGTTACGAACCAGTAAGGTAGAACATAGTCATTTGCAGACAAAAGCACGTGCTTATTCAACACCTTATTCGAAAGTTGTGCAAATTTAATTCAAATCATATCTAACCGAGCAAAACAAAGAGGCAGTTCAGTGTCACTGCAGACTCATGAATCGGGCTACCTACCCACACATGCACACATGATAAGTAAATTTTCTCAAGGGACAAGATGCACAACATAAGTTTGTTAACAGCCCAACAGACACGCACCGTATCAATTTCACTCCCCAATACGTCCTGTTCCAGCAGCGAGATCCAGATGAAACGACCGGATATGGTGGGGGACTCAGTAATTGAAATCGATGTTCACATTTATTTATTGTCAGTATACAGGCAACTTCAAAATAAGGTTAATTCGTAACGCACCTCTCGGGAGACTTCTAAACTCTGGCGTCAGGAAAAAAAACCTAAAACAAACTGCCTCTTTTACATCATCCTGGTACCCATTTCTACAAGCAGCCGACTGTATTGAAGTGTTCTTAGAGTGCGCACAAACGGAAATTGCATAATGACATTGTGAAGTGGCCACCGCAGTCGCGCCTGTAGCACTTAAAAGATGCTGAAGTAGGAATAAGTATAGGCGTCGACTGATGGGAGTAATAGGAGGCTTGCTTTCCTAACGAATGGGAGTTTTTTCTTGTAGTTTTCCTGGTCTACAAGCTTCTATTGCTAATCGCAACGTTTTCAGTTAAATTATAGTTTAGTAAAACAATTTGAAACCTCCTTTCTTTATTCTATTCTGCACACTTATCACGCATTGATCAACCATTCAACCTTTAACCACCAATTTCGTCAGACAATTGGGCAGGCAGGATCTTCTCATTGGACGGCTCTACGATTTACTTCTACCGAAACTGGTTAATTAAGTAGCCACAGTAGCGACAGTTTTCTCCTAAAAAAACACAAATGACATTCAATTTTTGAATTTTGAGCCATGGCTTAGGAGTTTCCTTCACTGTCTGCTCTTTGTGCTCAGTTTCACCTGCTGGCTCGTGTTAACTGACATCACCACATGTGACTGTATTACTTGGAACATGTGAGTAGTCGCCCACAGTTATTTCGCGACCTTCTTTTACTACCGTGCACCAATAGGGAGTTCAAAGGCCTTTGCCTATATTCCCCTTAATAAACATGACTTGACCTGACACTAGGCCAAGATTATG